TTTTTTTTTTTTTTTTTTTTTTTTTGAGACGGAGTTTCACTCTTGTTACCCAGGCTGGAGTGCAATGGCGCGATCTCGGCTCACCGCAACCTCCGCCTCCTGGGTTCAGGCAATTCTCCTGCCTCAGCCTCCTGAGTAGCTGGGATTACAGGCACGCACCACCATGCCCAGCTAATTTTTTGTATTTTTAGTAGAGACGGGGTTTCACCGTGTTGACCAGGATGGTCTCGATCTCTTGACCTCGTGATCCACCCGCCTCGGCCTCCCAAAGTGCTGGGATTACAGGCTTGAGCCACCGCGCCCGGCTCGCCATTACTTTTAATAGCAAAAAACTGCAATTTCTTTTGCTCCAGCCTACCTATGGATGGTTCAATTTCAGGGAAAATGTCAGCAAATTAAATGTAAATGATAGCAAACATCAGTAGTTTTTCTCCACTCTAGAAATAAGTACCTAGAAATGGAGAAGGGGAGGAAATAGTCCATTTATAATAGCAACAAAAATGATATTTAGGCATGAATTTAATGAGAAAGCACATGATCAATGTGAAGATGATTGAGAGAGTGAACAGGGCCAGGTGCAGTGGCTCACACCTGTAATCCCAGCATGTTGGGAAGCTGATGGAAGTGGATCACCTTAGGTTAGGGGTTTGAGACCAGCCTGGCCAACATGGTGAAACCCTGTATCTACTAAAACTACAAAAATTAGCCAGGTGTGGTGGCACGCACCTATAATCCCAGTCGCTTAGGAGGCTGAGGCAGGAGAATCGCTTGAACCCAGGAGGCAGAGGTTGCAGTGATTCAAGATTGTGCCACTGCCCTCCAGCCTGGGAGACAGAGTGAGACTCTGCCTCAAAAAAGAAACAAAAACAAAAACAAAAAAAACCAGTAAACAGGAGAGTTCTACATCAAACCAAATGGACTAACAAAGAATGGGTTTACTTTCCCAGTGGAACAAACAAACAAAAAAGGATGGCATATAGCAACAACAGTTTTTAAGGTACTGGAAACTAGACATAGAAGAAGAGTTATTCCCTGGGAAGAGCCAGCTGTGATTATGATTGCCCCACTGAACTCTGGAGAACTTTCAGGCTGCGTAGGCTGTGGTGTGTGCAGAGAGAACCCAGAGGAGCCCAGTGCACTCCCTTAGCTGAGGAGCTAGAGCTGAAAGTCTAGAGCGACCAAGGCAACAGCTCGCAGCACAGAGCACTGGGGAGAAGAGAGCTGCACAGAGAACTCGGAATACTGTAGAGGGTCCCCTCAGATACTAGGCAGAGTACTGATCAGCATGTGTAGGTGAGGAACTCCTAGAGGCTGGGGAACGAACTACATGGAAGGATTAGAGGGGACAGTACCTGGCACTGACGGCCAGGGATAGTGCTTTTCCCGCTAGCCACAATGGAAAACTTCATAATTCATGGGCATTGGATAGAATACTGAAAAGGTTCTTGCCTCAGCAGCAGTGAATAATTAGCCCTAGGCTAAACACTGCTTGAGTCTTGCCCAACAAATCTTCAAAGACCTGAAAGAATCCAACTGTTTGTAAATAATTTAGCTGCATTCCAGAACAAAGACCAAGAATAATTTTAAAGAAACACAGAAACCTTCAGTACCCAACAACGTCACATTCACGAGAGACAGGAAAACAGGGTCCATAAAGAGAAGAAAAATGAACATGTAACCGAGAACTGACACAAATGCTGGAATTAGAGGCAAAGAAATTGAAAGTTATCACCGTACTCCATATGATTGAAAAGTTAAAAAGAGACACGGGATATAAAAAAGACGCACACTCAGATTCTTGACATACACATGACAATTTCTGCAATGGGAAACGCACTGCACGATTTAACTGCAAATGATATATCACGGAAGAGATTAGTGAGCTTGAAGATACAGCAACAGAAACCATACAAAGTTAAGCACAGAGAGTAAAAAGAATGAACAAATAGAATCAAAGCCTCCGTGAACTGTGGGACCCTGTACGTGTGATCTGGAGCTTCTCAAAAGCAGGAGGGCGGACGCTGCTGCCCATGGAAGGCTCTAGATCTCAAGTCTGATCTCTGTTCAAATATGAGCAAATATGAGAGGTGAACGAAAGATATGTTAGCACCAAGTTGAGGCTTTCTTCTGGGGACTGACTGGGCAAGAGTGAGTAAGAATTGCCAAGGGCCTAACTGTCTCAGGTGTGCCTACCTGTGAGACACAGCGAGCCCTTTGGAAAATGCTATGCCCACAGCATGGAGAGGTTTGGTTTCAGTCCTTCCTAACCTATCCGTGGGACGGACAAAATCGGGCACCTAAATAAGGAAACAAGGTCTATTTGGGGGGAGGTAGAGGAGAGTGGTGGAAATGGAAAGGGGGGTGCTCTCTCTCTCTCTAGGTGAATGTGGCTGGGGACAGGGATGGTAACAGGCCACCTTGACTCTCACCTGACTACTGCTGAGTCCTCGCCAGCCATTGCTTATTCCAAGGGAAGAAGGGCGGCTCTGTTCACCCCCAGCTGCAACAGTCCTGGCTAATTCTGCTCCTCTCATGGTGCTTTTCTCTGTCCCTGCTCCTGCCCATCAGGGGAGGGTTGCCTCCCTATCCGCCTTTTTTCTCCAAGGCCGTGACATCTTCGTGAAGATGCCTACCTCATAGCCCACTTATTTCAAAGACCTCAGAGATGGCTTCCTTACGACTTGAGTCAACACTGTTTTCTCTTGGAGGCACAGTTGCACCGCTTTTGGCCAGGTGGTGGAGCTGAGCACAACAGAATGGTCTCATCACTAGCATGGCTTGCGGTAGAGCATGGTGTTCTGGGATGGTGGCTCTGGAGTGAGCGGGCCCCAGTGGAATTCTCTTCAGGCCTCGGTGACATGGGGGCGATGAGAATACTAACCTCATGGGATTGTTGTTGGGATTAAGTGGTTAATCCATGGGAAGTGCTTTTCACGATGGGCTGGTGAAGCGCCAATGCCCGTGAGTGCTGTCGGCTCCTGTGATCGTCATCATGTTCTCCATTAGTTGTCTCTCTCACTCTCTCCTTTCTCCAGGGTGCTGCGGTAGCTAATTAAGAGCACAGACTCAGGTGCTAAAAGGCCTGGATTCAAATGCCAGCTCTTCCGTTTGCCAGGTGGAAGATCTCAGGCAACTCACTCTGTTAGTCCCCTTGGGCTGCCGTTACGAATACCACAGACTAAGTAGCTCAAACAACAGAAATGTATGTCTTCACAGTTCTGGAAAACAGGAAGTTCAAGACCAAGGTGCTGGCAGGGTTGGTTTCTGGTGAGGTCTCCCTCCCTGTCTTGCAGATGGCTGCCTCCCCGCTGTGTCCTCACATGGCCTGTCCTCTGCTTTCACACTCCTGGTGTCTCTTCCTCCTCTTATAAAACACCAGTTCTATTAGATTAGGGCTCCACCCTCATGACCTCATTTGACCTTAATTATGACCTTCTGAAAGTCCCTGTTTCCAAATACAGTCACATGGGAGGTTAGGGTTTCAGCAAACAGGGAGACACAATTCAGTCCATACCATCACACAACCACTTTGTGCCTCAGTTTTGAGCCTCCCAAGTAGCTGGGACTACAGGTGTGCGCCACCATGCCCAACTAATTTTTGTATTTTTTTAGTTGAGATGGGGTTTCACCATGTTGGTCAGGATGGTCTTGATTTCTTGACCTTGTGATCTGACCGCCTTGGCCTCCCAAAGTGCTGGGATTACAGGTGTGAGCCATGCACCCTGCCTAAAAGTGTTTTTAATACCTACCTCAGAGGGTTATCATGAGCATCAGATGGGTATGACGTGTACAGACCAGTGCCTGCTTCCAAGCGGGCATGGTATGGGTTATTATAGTAATAATACAACACTTGATCTTAGCCAAAAGGCCGAGAAGCCATATACAGTGATAATATAATCAGTAAGTAGTATCATCCTCACGGACATTTCCTGCTTTCCATCTGCTCTTCTTCCCTCACCTCCGAATGAAGACAATGCCAAATTAAACTTTCAGAAATCATCAAGGGAGTTACAATTCCCATGTGACTTACTCCCTGCTCGTGAAAGTGTTGGCCGTTTTCTCAAGAAGACCTGCAGAGACTTCCTCTTTCTGCCAATCTGAGGCTTTGAAAAAACAGGACGTCCGGGAGCTTTTAAGCCTCCTTTCCCCAGGATCTCTTCTGCAACACTCGGCCAGGTAGTGGCAGCTAAGTGATGCTTTGTAGTGTACTAGCCTCGTTCCCCTGGGGCTCTCTTTATAAGCTCATCACTTAGGCAAGATTAATTTTACACGCTCTCGGCTCTGCTTCTCCAATCCGAAGCAGTTAGAGTCAAAATCCAGTTTCTGAGAAATGACGACTGCTTGCAGAACCCAGGGATCTGAGGGCCAGAGGTTGTCTTGGCTTTTTCCTAGAACAGAAGCAGCACTTCAGGTCAGTTTGTAAAAACAACAATCCAAAATATACTTTTAAAAAGTTCACATTTTAAAGCTGGGTGCAATGCCTCATGCCTGTAATCTTAGCACTTTGGAAGGCCGAGGTGGGTAGATCATTTGATGTCGGGAGTTTGAGACCAGCCTGGCCAGCTCTACAGGCTGGAGGGACCACAAGAAAGTGGGAGATACTGACTTCTATTACCTTGGATTCATTTGCCAGTTTTTGAACTTCCTATGAATGGAATCCTACAGTATTTACTCTTTCGAGTCTGACTTTCTTTGCTCAGCGTTTTGCCTGTGAACTTTGTCCAGGCTGTGTGTAGGACGAGCTTCAACCATAAAGATTGAGCTGATTGATCACCAGCGGCCAATGATTTAATCAATCATGCCTACACAGTGAAGCCTTCATAAAATCCCAAGAGGACGGGGTTCAGAGAGCTTCTCAACAGCTGAATACATGGAGGCTCCTGGGGGGTGGCACCCAAGAGAGGGCGTGACAGCTCTGTGCCCCTTCCATTACCTTGCCCTACGAGCTCTTCCATTTGGCTATTAATCTCTAGCCTTTGTCACATCCGTTATAATAAACTGGGAAATGTGTTCCCCTGAGTTCTGTGTCCTCTTCTGGCAAAGGAAATTGAACCCAGGGAAGGGGTAGTAGGAACTCCAATTTAGAGCCAGTTGGTCAGAAGTGTAGGTGACAACCTATCACTTGTAATTGGTATGTGAAGTGGGGGCCATCTTGTGGGACTGAGCCCTTACCTGTGGGATCTGATGCTGTCTCCAGGAAGATATTGTCAGAATCGGGTTACATTCTAGGACATCCAGTTGGCATGGCCACAGAATTGATTGATGGTTGGTGGGGAGAAATCGCCACAGATTTTGGTGACCAGGGTCATAGATACTATTTAGCCATAAAAAAGAATAAAGTACTGGCCGGGCGTGGTGGCACTTCCAAAATGCTAATCCCAGCAGTTTGGGAGGCCAAGGCAGGTGGATCACGAGGTCAGGAGTTCCAGACCAGCTTGACCAACATGGTGAAACCCTGCCTCTACTAAAAAAAAAAAAAAATACAAACATTAACTGGGTGTGGTGGCATGCACCCGTAATCCCAGATACTCAGGAAGCTGAGTCAGGAGAATTGCTTGAACCTGGGAGGCAGAGGTTGCAGTGAGCCAAGATCACACCACTGTACTCCATCCTGGGTGACAGAACAAGACTGTCTCAAAAAAAAAAAAAAAAAATGAGGTATTGACTCATGCTACAACATGCATGAAACTTGAAAACATTTTGCTAAGTGAAAAGAAGTCGGACGCAAAAGACTATATACTGTACGATTCAATTGACAGGCAATGTCCAGAATAGGCAAATCCATAAAAGACAAAAAGTCCATTGGTGGTTGCTAGGGATTGGTGAGGTGAGGGAGTGACTACTTATGGGTATGGGGTTTCCTTTTAGGGTGACGAAAGTATTCTAGAATGATATTGTGGTGATGGTTGCACAGCCGGTGAATATGCTGAAAACCACCGAACTGTGCATTCTAGAAGGGTAAGTTTTATGGTGAGTGAATGCTATCTCAATAAAGCGCTACGGTTTCTGTTTGTAAGCACGCTGTGGAAGGACTTCCACTGAGTTTGGAAGTCCTGTTTGATGTGGAGGCTGTGTGGTCTTTGCAGAATTCACTTGGGTATGATTTCTAGGGGGCCCCTTGAGAAGACAAAGACAAAGCAGCCAAAACAGATTCCCAAGAGGTACATGTGATTGCCCATGCAGAGAATGATTAAGAAATCAATTAAATTATTCATTTAACAAGCTGTATTGAGCATCCATGATATGCTAGGAAGTGTTTTAGAACCTTGGCTGTATCAGTGAACAGAACAAAGAATCCTGTCTTTGGCTGAGGTTCTAGCAGAGGAAGACAAACAAAAAAGAAATGTGATGATATACTGAGTAAGTAGATGATACACTGTGTCCAAAGGTTTTAAATGCTGTGGCAAAACAGGCATAGAACTAGATACAGGAACGCGCCTGGTGTGTTTGAGAAATAGCAAGGGAAGCCGGGCGCGGTGGCGCGCGCCTGGAATCCCGGCACTTTGGGAGGCTGAGAGGGGCGGATCACGAGGTCAGGAGATTAAGACCATCCTGGCCAACATGGTGAAACCCCATCTCTACTAAAATTACGAAAATTAGCTGAGTGTGGTGGCATGTGCCTGTAGTCCCAGCTACTTGGGAGGCTGAGGCAGAGAATTGCTGGAACCCAGGAGGCAGAGGTTGCACGGAGCTAAGATGGTGCCACTGCACTCCAGCCTGGGTGACAGAGTGAGACTCTGTCTCCAAAAAAAAGAGAGAGAAACAGCACGGAGGCCAGTGTGGCTGGAGTGGACCCAGATGAGTAGAGAAAACAGAACTTGAGCTTGAGCTTCAAGTAGAAATGCACAGCTCTGAATTCAAGGGTGGATGTTTCTAGGTTGGCGGAGATGCAGCTTCTCACATGGGCAACTCTAAGCTGCTTCCTCTGGGGCAAGTGGCAGCAGGTACTGATTGAATGATATTAGCAAGAGTTTGTGACTTCCTTCCTGCTATTCTAAGGTATAGGGGGAACTAACCAGCCGATCTAAAGAAAAAAGAGGGAGATATAAAGACCGAGCATCTATAAAAGATTTTGCCATACCTGGGAAAGTCAAGAGCAGTGAGGAATGGCTTTGGCCCTGAGTAGAGGAAATCTCAACTAACAAAGGCTTGAAAAAGGAGGAGATTGTTTTTCTCACAAAATTATAGAGGTGAGTGATTGCTCCGTGGCTGGACAAGATCGTCATGGCCCTAGGCCCAGTCCTTTCTGCTTGGGCATCCTCAGTCTGTCGGCCTGCTGCCTTTGTGTTGGTTGCCCTGGTCACCAGCTGGTGCCCCAGCACTAACCATCATGCCCTCACAGCAGTGCCCAGCGGGGAGCAGAGGGGCAGGGGCAAAAATGTTTCTCCTCTGGAGGCTCTGCTTATTCTGGAAGGTTTTCCTGGTGTCTTGGACCAGAACAGGATCACGAGCTGTATCAGCCCCAGGCGGCTGTGCAGTAAACACCCAGTGGGTTGGCTGGGGTTTGCTGATGAAGTCTGGGCTCAGTTGGGTGTGGCTCTAGGCCTCAGGTCTGGACCCCAGGGGCCTCATTTTTGGGCCCATTAGCACAAGGAGGGCACACCAATGGCACAAGCACATTTCTTTTTATTTTTGAGATGGAGTCTTACTCTGTCGCCCAGACTGGAGTACAGTGGCAGGATCTCGGCTCACTGCAACCTCTGCCTCCTGAGTTCAAGTGATTCTCCCGCCTCCGCCTCCCACATAGCTGGGATTACAGGCACGTGGCACCACACCTGGCTAATTTTTGAGATTTTTTGGCAGAGACAGGGTTTCACCATGTTGGCCAGGTTGGTCTTGAACTCCTGGCCTCAAGTGATCCACCCACCTCAGCCTCCCAAAGTGCTGGGATTACAGGTGTGAGCCACCATGCCCAGCCCCAAGCACATTGCAAACCCCTGCTTGACATTCTGAAATGCCCATTGGCTGGAGTCAGTCATATGGCCAAGCCCAAAGTCAAAGGGGCAGGAAATCCACTTAGTCTTCCATGAAGTCATGAGAAGGGGTACAGGTATAATTCCCCGCCTGGGGACTGAAGGCCAAACATCCTGCCTTTCCCAAGGCCAGGCAACAGGATTTGGGATTGCCATGAACAGCTTAGCCCAAGCACAACTTATGAAGTTATATGGTGTAGTGGTTAAGAGCATGGCTGTCGAGTTGAACTTTTAGGATCAAATCCCAGCTTCTCCTCTAGCTAGCTATTTGTCCTCAAGAAATTTTTTTTCCATCTCTGAGCCTCGAGTACCTCATCTGTAAAATGAGGGTTACTATGGTACTACCTCTTAGGTTTGTTGTGATGATTACATTACTGTGTGCTTCTAGGCGGGCACCGTGGCTTACGCCTACAGTCCCAGCATTTTGGGAGGCTGAGGTGGGTGGATCACCTGAGGTCAGGAGTTCGAGACCAGCCTGGCCAACGTGGTGAAACCCTGTCTCTACTAAAAATACAAAAATTAAGTAGGGTGGCGTGTGCCCGTAATCCCAGCTACTCAGGAAGCTGAGGCAGGAGAATCGCTTGAATCTAGGAGGCAGAGGTTACAGTGAGCCAAGATTGTGCCATTGCCCTCCAGTCTGAGCCACAGAGCAAGACTCTGTCTCCAAAAAAAAAAAAAAAAAAAAATGTGCTGCTAAGATTGCCTTGCACATAGTAAGGTATGGTAAGTGTTAGCTCTGCTCCTCTGGGGTAGCCAAGGTCTTGATACTTCTGCTGTCCTTGATAACCATAACATCCGAACCAGTAAGGAAGCCAGGAGGAATGGCGGCTGGAGGAGAGGACCCGTGTCTGCCTCAGTGTGTCCTGCCAGGGAGGGCCCCGTCTTGCTCTGTGTGCCTTTCTCGTTGCTCACGAACAGCTCAGCAGCTAATGTACCACAATTGCTTTTTCATTAGTAGCCGCAGAATTCACATCCAGTAGCTCTTGACCACTGAGGTTTGCAGTTGATGGTGGCCTCGCACACTGAAACATGAAGCTGAACAATTGACTCCAGCCTTGTTAGGGTGGAATCAGCCACTTGAATAAAGAATGCCACTTCATTACCTGCTCTTGGGTCAAGCCGAAAGGAAAAAGACCATCTCACCAGATGTCCCACGTGCTGGGGCTTCAGTGTTCTCAGGGATTCCAAGTGTGTTCATTCCAGAGAATTCTCAAAGCATGACCCTAGCAGACACATTTTCACACCAGCATGCCCACAGCATGTGTGGAAGAAAGGGGGGTGGGATCTGTGTAGATCTAAGTCAAAGTAATTAGCTGTCAGCTGCATCACATCTGGAGATCAAATATAAACTGTTGGCCTCAAAAACCATTCCGGTCCCTGTCATTTCCGTTCTCCTGGTACCAGGCCATCTTTTGTAGCATGGTCCTAATATGTTTCTCCATGCTGACAAAAATCCTGCAGTTTGCAAAGTAAGCATGGACTCCGAAGTCATCTGCAATCAGTGACTGTAACACCCTTTTACTTTGTGATGGGTAGAGTTACAGACCCAGGTCTTTTCCTGGGACAGATAGGGAGGAGTGGGGAATTTCACTTCTGGCATGTCAGAAGGCAGTTTTCATGGGGAAAATAGAAGTGCTTTTGTGGGAATTTTGAATGCATGGTGGAAACCAGTGACAAAGTTGGATTAATGTACATATGACGTGAGAAACACAAACCAGAGGTGAGCAGGAGCTCTTAGCTTTAAGAAGAGGCTTTTATTGCTTTCTGCCTGTGGACGCCGTGGAAGAAGCATCACTAAAGTCTCTCTTCTCCCTGCAATCATGTCTAAGTCAGAGTCTCCTAAAGAGCCCGAACAGCTGAGAAAGCTCTTCATTGGTGGGCTGAGCTTTGAAACAACCGATGAGAGCCTGAGGAGCCATTGTGAGCAATGGGGAATGCTCACGGACTGTGTGGTCATGAGAGATCCAAACACCAAGCACTCCACGGGCTTTGGGTTCGTCACGTGGAGGAGGTGGATGCAGCCATGAATGCAAGGCCACACAAAATTGGTGGAAGAGTTGTGGAACCAAAGAGAGCTGTCTCAAGAGAAGATTCTCAAAGACCAGGTGCTCACTTAACTATGAAAAAAATATTTGTTGGTGGCATTAAAGAAGACATTGAAGAACATCACCTAAGAGATTATTTTGAACAGTATGGAAAAATTGAAGTGATTGAAATCGTGACTGATTGAGGCAGTGGCAGGAAAAAGGGCTTTGCCTTTGTAACCTGTGAGGACCATGACTCCGTGGATAAGTTTGTCATTCAGAAATACCATACTGTGAGCCGGGCGCAGTGGCTCAAGCCTGTAATTCCAGCACTTTGGGAGGCCGAGGCGGGTGGATCATGAGGTCAAGAGATC